CTGTGCCACTGCTGGAAGACTCTGTGTTGGGAAGAAGTCAAATCAGTAAGGAGAGAGAAGCTGTGCAGAAAGCCAAAATTGAGTTTAATGTAGTTAAACTTTAAAAAAAAAGAATGTGTTTAGGCTGGATGTGGTGGCACATACCTTTAATCGCAGCTGTCAGGAGGCAGAAGCAGGTGGATCTCTCTTAACCAGAGGCCAGCCTGGTCTACATAGTAAGTTCCAGGACAGCCAGAGCTATGTAGAGAGGCCCTGACTCAAGAAACAAAAATAAGTAAAAATAAAAGAAAAATGTGTTTTATTAGCATACGTCAGTTATATATAATGGACTTCATTGTGACATTTACATACATTCATATGTTATAAATAATCTATTTTAATCATATTCATATCTCTTCTCCTCTTCCCACTGATATCCTTTCTTTTCCCAGCTAATCCCCTTTCTATTTTCATAGTGTATTGGTGTGTGTGTGTGTGTGTGTCTGTCTGTCTGTCTGTCTGTCTGTCCCAGTGTATTCTGGTAGGGTTGGTTCCAGGAGCATGGACACCTTATCACTGAAGAACATGTCTCTCCCTCCCCCACAAACCAATCATTACCGTTTATAGATCCTCACAGGGACATGGCCGCATGAGCTCCTTCGTGATCTATGACAGGATATTGATGGACTCAGTCTTGTGCAGATAATCGTAGCTGCTGACTTACATCCTTTGCTCCCCCTTTTCTGCTAGTTTCCCGAGCCTTGGAGGGTGTGATGCAGATGACCTACTTACGGCTGAGCTTTCAACAATCACTATACTCATCACTGACCCATTGTAAGTCCCTGCAGTTGTTGCTGCCCAAAACCAACAGCAGTACTAATCTAGGGGCATAAATATAGTTACTTAGAAGGCAATTTGCTGGACACATCATGTCAATTTAGCAAAAGAACAGACAGATGTGGCTTCTCCTTTAGGGCCTCTGACTTTCTGGCCATGAATTTTTCACTAGGGTTTACAATACCAGATATGAATTCTCCCTTGTGCAGTGGACCTCAGGTTTAATCAGGAAGTGAGTGGTTACCCCCATACCAAGTTTGCCACTATTTCACCAGTGGGTACATCTTGCCTGGCAGGTCAGTAGTGCAGCATACAGGGCTCACAACTAAGGAAGACTGTTGATGATAATTCTCTTCCAGCAACCTTCACAGAATTGTTGGTACTAACCAGGGAGGAACCTTTCTTCTTCCATGTCCTATGCCAGAATGCAAGGTGTCTTCAGCAATAGTTTTAGCCTCTAGTTTTAAGTGAGCCATCAACAGAAGCAGCAATTGTTCTAGGGCCAGTGGATAAGCTCAAGAGGTCAAGGATGTTGCCCGAGTTTCTGTCCTGTGCCCTCAGGCAGAGGTTGCTGAGGAGGGGCTACTGCAGTGATGGGGAAGCTGGAAGAAGGGAAGGTTATCTGGGTGAAGCATGGAGAGTGGCCAAGGATGGAGAGCAGAGCTGAAGACATCAGCGAGGTTTGTGAAGCTTGAACAATGGATCACATTAGATCATAGGCTCAGGGCTCAGAAGGGTCGAGGATGAAGATACAATGTGAGCATGGAGGTGGGGACTGTACCCTGAGTGTGTACAGTGCTGGGGGGCAGTGGGTTCAGTTTCAGAGCCCTAGGGCCACAGAAATGCAGAGAGAAGAAGGGGGATGCAAACATGGTCAGAAAGAGCAGCCCGAGTAGGGGAAGGAGAGAGGAGGAGATGGGATCTGGTCATGGTAAGTTTTCTAGGAAGCGCCCATTGAGATCCCTGAGACCTTGGGAAAGTCTCTTGGAGAGAAGTCAGAGCAGACATCCCCACCCCTATACCCTATAAAAAGATCTTTTTATAACGTGATTCTATCCAAGTCAGTGTAACTACAGAGGAGGAGACGTGAAACAGGAAGGTTGAAGTGGGGCGTGGATTATAAATAATTGACTAAGTCCTGATATTGGAGCCTCAGGACAGTCACAGCGAGCAATCCAGCTACAGGAGGGACCTAGAATAGGGCATCACATGGGGACCAAGGACTCCCTGGGACCTCTAAATGAGCTTCAGAAGGTGTCCCCTGCCCCCCTTAATGTACTGACCGGATTTACGTATCAGTCACCTTTTCAGCATTGGTGTGGGGAGACAGCCCATAGCTTTCATAGGGTCTTCTTAGAGGGCTCCACTTCCAAAGAAGGTAGGGACCCTTCTAAGAACAACAAAGGTACAATGTGGGACTCAGTCTCTTAAACCTTTTTTCTCAACTTTCTTTCCACCCTCTCCTTTTCAAGACAAGACCCACCCCAGTCAGTCCCCAGACACTACACCACAGGGATCTATGGCCAGGGATAAGTTACGGTTCCTTCGCTGAGAGTCACTGGCAAGGGCTGTCTGCCAGAGCAAGTAGCTGTGTGTGTTGGGGGTGGGGGGTGGGGAGTGGAACTGAGAACCATGCATTCCTGATAAAATGACCCTAGAGGAAGGTTTGAGGTGTTCCCTAGGGGTAGAAAAATACGTCAAAGCTGCTTGTAATTTTCTGATCTGTATGCTTTCAGAGGAGATGCTGCTAGCAGGTTCCAGGAAGACCATTCAATCGGAAGTACAGTACTATAAATGTAAAAGAGAGACCAGAATCGGAATGCACGCCTCCAGAAGTCCCAGTGTGCCGCCTAGGCCGGTCATGTGACTGGTTACCTTGCCTAGCTAGTAATAAATCAGGTGCAGCCCTGCGGTCCGTTTCTTTGAAGAGAAAGCATCATTTTCAAGAATGACTTGGCAGCTGGACTTGGAAAGGAATGCTGATTATTTTGTGGGAATGAATCTGTCTCAGAGAGGATGTTAGCTGGTAAGCAGAATGCAGCTTCAAGCTGGAGGTGGACCCTATTCCCTCAAGGATTGGCAGCTTGGAGCATATCAAGAGGTAGCGCTTAGCCAAGCATGGCTGATCACACTTGTTACTCTTGGGAGGCAGAGGCAGGAGGACTGTTACAAGTATGAAGCAAGATTGAGGTAGAGTAAGAACTTAGCTCAAAAAAGAAACATCTCCCCTCCCCCCCTTTGCTTTTTCAAGCAAAGCAACAGAGCTAGCGCTTGGCTTGGGCTGAGATCTGGCCCTGTCACTGTGAGTATTTCGTTAATGACCCAGAGTAGTGGTGCCCACTGAAGGCTTTAGGTACTAGGCTCCAAGTCTCATTAGCAGGGTTCTCCCTAACCCAAATCCACTTAGAACTGGCGGAATGTTCCCAAGCTCTTTGTCAGCCCCTTGTGAACGATAAGGCACTGTTGCTCTTTATTTTGGGGAGTGTGTGTGTGTAAACTGAGGAATTTCAATCAGTTACAAAAGGGGCTAAGGGCATGTCTGTGGGTGCAAAACCCCCAGTTTGGAGAGCATCTAGAACTGTGGCAGAGACCTCAGAGATTGCACAGGCCTGGATTGCCTCAGGACCCAAAACAGACCCAGCCCTCTAAACTCTGGCTGCTTCTTTGCAGTCTGGGCGAAGGGCTCCTGTGGCAAAGCCGGCAGGCTTGCAGGCGGATGCGAAGGACTCTGCAGACATTGTTAAACAGCTGGGATCCTACCTTCAACCTGATCCTGCCTGTAATTCTCATATACAGCTGGCTGCAGCCGCAGTGCCAACGGCTCTCACAATCTCTTCTACCCAGGTTGGCCTGCTCTGCTTCAGACAAGCACGTCTCTGCCTCCCAACAACTCCTGCGCGTTGTAACATAATCCCTCAGTCCTGGCATCTTTTCCGGATGTCCCCATCTTGGAGGTCCGGGAACTGGTCAGCTGATACAGTGCTTTGGCACAAACATGAGGAGTGAGGGCCTGAATTTGCTCCTCAGTACCTACGTTAAAGCTCATTGCTGAGGCTGAACAAGTTGTCTCCATGAGTAAGGATACCTGCCACCAAGCTTGACGATCTTAGTTTGATCCCTGACAGGGAATCTTTGTCTTTAAGAGGTGGGACCAAGTTAGGGTGTGGCTTTCTGGGACCTGAAGAAAATCAGCTGGCGGCCCAGGTGCGCAAGCTCTCTCTGTGTGGTTCTCTCGCAGCACAGCTGAGCTTGGACTTCTCGCTCCTGTTTTGTGAGTTTTCCCCTTATAATAAATAAAAATATAATTGTTTTATCTTTTGGCTAGCCTGGTTATTTCCCGAATCGATCCTCATGACTCCACAGTAGAAGGAGAGAACAGACTCCCACAAGTTCTTCCCTGCTCTCTAAAGGTGTGCACATTCACCCACACATACACACAGAAAAGATAAAATGCAATGCCATTTTTTTTTTTTAAATTACATGTCTGTAATTCCAGAGCTGGGGAGGTAGGAACAGAAGGACCTCCGGGTTTTCTGGCTAGCTCTTTTAGCCAAATTGGCCAGCTTAGGGTTCAAAGAGAGACTACATCTCAAAAGTTAAGGCACAAAGCAGCTGAGGAAGGAAGACACAGGTTGACGACCTCTGACCTTCACTCATACATGCATGCCCATCCACACAAAAATAGAACGTGTCCTGTCTTGTTTTAAAGAAGAAAAATCACACTGGCCTCTTCAATATAAGTGCCTAGGACCAGGAAAGAGGTTTTCCTTCCTTCCTCCTTTCCTTTTCTCTTTCACACAGGGTTTCACGTAGCCCACGATGGGTTGAGGGTGACCGTGAATTTATCCTCCTGCCTCCATTCCTCAGGTGCTGGATTACAGGTGTGCACCATCACACCCGATTTAAAACAGTTTCAAAAGCTACACAGAAAAACTCGGATGATTGCGTTGGCCTTTAGGAGAAGATCTGAGGACAGCGTGAAAGGCCAGGGACAATACCGACTTCCTTTCCAGGAGAATATGGTCCCTCTAGCTTCCAGTTGTCTTTCATACCATTAGCCATACTGAACTTAAATGATTGTCATTGCTTCTTTATTGTCTGTCTGTCCTGGGTAGAGCTTAAGGTCAGAGATTATGTTCCTTTCACACCTCTCTCTCTCTCTCTCTCTCTCTCTCTCTCTCTCTCTCTCTCTCTCTCTCTCTCTCTCTCTCTCTTTCCTTTTAAGACAGACTGTCATGTAGCCCAGGCTAGCCTGGAACTCAATATGTAGCCGAGGATGCTCTTGACTGTTTGATCCTTGAGCGCTGGTATTACAGGTGTGTACCACTACTTCCTGCTTATGTGGTGCTGGACACCAAACCAAGGGCTTCAAGCACACGAGGCAGGCACTCTGCCACCTGAAGTACATCTGCAGCCTGGCTTCTGCATCCTTAGTGTCTGCCTAGTAGCTGACCTCTCATTGCTGATGTTTATTGGGCGAATAAATGAATACGCTTGTTCGTCACCCCAAATTCACGCTCTGCTGAGACCCTCAGGGCTTTCCTGCCTTTCTATCTTCAGGAGGCTCTGTGCTTCCCTCCCAGGAACAAGCACCCTGGTTCCCCTCTCCCATCCTTAGCTCTTCAGATGTTCTCTCGCCCTGGGCTCCTTCAGGGCTTGACTATCTGTCAGTAGAAGCAGCGTGTGTGCCTGTCGGGGAGCCTTTGAGACAGGTCCTTGCATGGTAAGACACCGACATTGATGGAGTGGGACAAAGCCTCAACCGTCACAAGGCAGCCTTTCTCCACAAAGGCTAAATAGTTTATTTTCCCACAGGTAACCCAGGCCCCAAGTGCTGAGGACTGCGCATCTTCGTCACCCAGCTGTGCCTCCCATCTCAGAGCCACCCGATGGGGAAAGCAGTGGGTGATCCAGGTCAACACTGTGATGGCCGAGTCAGTGTGAACTATGGAAGTGGAGAGGCGGGGGCAACATCTTCATCCAGCCTCTTCTACCCATCCCCCGTGTCCAGGAAAAGATCTGACAAACCAGCAAAGTAAATAAATAATTTAGAAACAATAAATAGGGCTTCGGCTTCCACAAGTGAACACATGGCTGGCTTCATTCAGCACAGGCTCTTCCAGCAACGCGACTACAATGTATCTCCTCAAAATTCATCCCCCAGGACTTGGGGCCATTTCTGAATTCTCCCAGAGGAGTTCTCCTTAGCTGAGGTTTCTGGTGTCTGTAGAGCTGGGATCCATGAGCACCTTGGAGCTGTTGGTCAGTGGTTAGTTAGGTCATCTCTTCTGGCTCGATGTATGTCACTCACGGGCCTGGGGCCTGAGCTCTACAGCCTCCTTTTCCGACTGAGGTTCCTGGCTAGCGAGGCCGAGTGGGGCTGTTCCAGGCAGGGCGACACAAGGGTTCAGTGTGCAAAGGCTTGGAGAGCATCCTCAGCCCAGACAGCCGCAGGCAGTGGCCGAGAGATGGTCCACGGTCCTCCAGGTGCTGTTCACGTCCATGAAGGAGACAGCCTCATAGCGAGTGGGCCGGCAACAGGGCTGGCTGATTGGCCGGGACCCAGGGGGCGACCGCAGGGCCCCGGCGCCCAGTAAGCTGGCCAGGCTGAGGTCGTGCGGGGAGCGTGCTCGGCGGCACGAGCCGCTGCAGAAGCGGAAACGTACCAGCTCGTCGGAACTGTGGCCCAGGCCGAGCGCGCTCACCGGCACCAGCTGCGAGCGCAGGCGGCAGCCGCGCGTATCCGTGGCCCGCGCGCGGCTGCTCCGGGTCTCTGCACGTGCGGCGCGTACCCCGCGGAGCGCAGCGGGAGGAGATTGGAGCGCGGGACCTGGCGGCGGGGGTGCGGGCTGGGGAGACTGTGGCGGTGGTGGCAGGGTTCTTTCGCTGCACAAATGCGCAGTGCGTCCCCCTGGAATGAGACTGAGTCACTTTCGGGGGTAGGGGGGGAGGGTCTAGGTCTAGCGTCGCCCCTGTCCCACCCTGTCGCGCTCTCACCTACCAGGCAGGTGGCCGGTGGGGGGCGCCAGGACCGGCGAGGGACCATCGCGAGCGGAGGGGCTGAGGGACATGGGGTCCAGGGAGGCCTCTGTGACGCTGCTCAGTAGGGCAAGAACAGCTAGGGTTGGCCACAAAGCTTGCTGCACAGAGAAAAGAAGAAACTCAGGGAACTCTGGAGGGCTGTCTTGTCTGTAGCCCAGATCAAAGACCGCCCCAGTTGGGTTCCTATCTGGACTGCTGAGTGTAAGGAAGGGCTTAAGTTTAATAGGCATTTGGCTGCTTCTGGGAGCCCAGGGGAGGAATCACCTGAGGGCACTAACCATCCAGAGAAATCCTGTTCCTTTCCTCCTATGGCTGGCTCCTCCCTCTTGATATTTTCCCTTTAACAACTGACCCCCTGCCCAGCTATATTCTACTCTTTTTCCCAATTAAAGTCAGCTGGGAAATGCCAGGGAGTGGCTCACCTGCCACCTAGGCTGGAGGCAGCGGGGCAATGCAGTAGAGTCTCCAAGTCCCAGTTCCATCTCTGTCAACACCAGGAGCTCCCATCAGCCTTCGTGGTCCTGTTTCCCCACCTTCTTTTTGAGACAGCTGCAAGTTGAAGGAGGGGTTAGTTATCTTTTGGGGTATTAGTTCAGTATCCACTTCAGTATCTCAAAGCTACCCCGAAGCTTAGGTAACTAGAGGCAGCCCAGAAGCAGTAGTGGCACAGAGATGCGGAGATGTGATTGGTGCTTTGCAGGATTTGCTTCTTCACGGTTCCACAAGTTCCATGGCTCCCTTTTCCAGATTGGCAAACGAGGCTCGGCTGAGCTCAGAGATTGTCTAAGGGGAAACCCTTCTGTGCTGTACTTCAGGGCGGAAGGTACCAGAGTGGCTGGAGAAAGCAGTAACTGGACACCCTTAGCTCTGCACTCAGCATTCTCCGCAAACACCCGGGGAGGAAGCAGAGCTCTGGAGAATTAGAGTGCCAACCGGTTGGTCACTCTGTGTTGTCTGTTGACTGGGAGCCAAGGCCTCCTGCAATCTCTGTTCTGGACCCAGAGTCACCTGAGTTCTCTCTTAGACCCACAGATGTCCCCCCCAAGAGCCTGCTTGTTATCTGGGGGGAGTGATGGGCCTTCTGAAAACAGTGCCTGGACCATGGTTTCCTGTGGCCACCAGGGGGCAGAGTTTGCCAAGCCTGCGGACTAAAGGGGCAAGGGGAGGGGGGCTTTTCCACATCCTCTGCATGTTCAGTTCTGAGCCATTCCCAGGAGGACCAGCCAGCCCTCCACATCAGCCTGGTCTCAGAGGACTGGACCACTCTGAGAGCTAGCCATCTGGGCCATCAGCCTTCTGTGCATGGCTTCTTAGCCTTGCTCCTACGAGTATCCCCCATGAACTATATCCTTCCTGACCCTAGCCGGCTTTACTGAACAGCACGTCTTTGTGAGCCAACCCCCTGGGGCCCCAGGACCTTTATGAGTCCTCATTAGCTAGTCTCCTCACGGGTCCCAGATGTTATCTCCCATCCTTCTGCTAGCACACAGAATAATACATGGGGCCGACCACACGACACATACCTTCCAGGCCTTTATCCAGGAAGTGGTCCTCCAGGACTAGTTGTGTACCTGTTGGCTAACTAGACTCAGATCCCTAGAGACCAGGCTAGTGACTATTTTCCCAGATGGAGGGAAAGTCAGACAAGGCAGCCTTAGGGGTATCTGCGCTAGAGGGAGCCCAGGAGCAAGTCCCTCGAGGGTAGCTCAGACCAGTCTCCTTCCTTACCGGTAATCTGGGATTATTTGGTCCTCCAGCCCTTGCCAACCCTATCCACTAGCCCTATACTCACCAAGGGGGTCCTTCTAGGTACCTTTCCTGGGACCAGTGCTGGGCTTTCCCTCGAAGCTCAAATAGATCATGCCCAGAGTTGTGCACCTGGCAGCGCCTCTTTTAGCCAAAAGTGGGGCTTTGGCAGCCGGTCTGTGCCCTGTGGCGGCAGCGGGAGCCTCATATTACAGCCAGCCAGGAGGGCTAACACAGTCCAACAGAATAGCGACAAGAGGGACTGGAGGGACTGGGAGGGGCAGAGAGCGGCGCTGAGAGCCCAGAAGAGAGAGGCTGAGAGAAAGGGGGAGGAAGAAGACCTTTCTGGCCCCTTTTCTGCCCTAGGAGCGTTCTCAGGGGATGGGCAAGAAGGTTGGCTTACCTCGGATGCAGTGCTCCGAGACCCAGTCGAAGCGAAGGCTGTGGCCCGAGGGACTTGTTGCTGGCAGAGCCCGCGGGCCGCATCTGGGGGCCGAGCCCAACTCCATCCCTCAGCAGCCTCCTGCCCGCCGCCGTCCGGTGTCAAATTCCAGCCCCAGCGTCACCAGATCCCGGGGTGGGGCCCCGAGCGCCCCCGCCCCGCCCCACCTTTCAGGGCTCACCTGGCCACTCCACCCTTCGGATCCGGTTCCCACTAGCTGGGCTAGGTCCCCTTAGGTGGGGGCTAGATATTGGGAGAATACCCCAGGAGGCAGAGTAGAGATCGCGGGCGGCAGCGAGGAGCTGAAACTGGGAATTCGAAGTTGGTAGACACGCAAAGTAGGGAACTGGGAGGCCTGGCCGAGGGCGGAAGAGAGACAGAGAGAGAGAGAGAGAGAGAGAGAGAGAGAGAGAGAGAGAGAGAGAGAGAGAGAGAGAGAGAGAGAGAGAGAGAGAGAGAGAGANCAAAGTAGGGAACTGGGAGGCCTGGCCGAGGGCGGTAGAGAGGCAGAGAGAGGGAGAGAGAGAGAGAGAGAGAGAGAGAGAGAGAGAGAGAGAGAGAGAGAGAGAGAGAGAGAGAGAGAGAGAGAGGCAGGCGAAGGAGGGGCAGCCTGGAGGAGCGTTTCAGCTTGGGTCGTGCAGCCACAGGGGTGCTGGCTAGCTACCCTGCAGTGTCAACTGGTGGCTCCGGGACCTTCAGAAGCTTCAGCCGCCTCGGAGTGGCAGGGCTCTGCATTGGGCTCCCACCGTCCAGCGATAGTCTGTTTCACTGCTCAGTTTCAGGGTCTCGGAGCTCAAAAGAACTCATGCACACTGTCTTAATGAAGGCAATGATTGGGTGTGTGTGGGGGGCAGGAGTGAAGAATCGGAGGGTGACAGTATTGAACTGGGTTTTGAGGTGTGATAAGGCAATTTGACAGGTGTCTGCGGACTGTTTGATGGCTATGATTGGAAAGGTCTTACTAACTAGCTTGGAGCTCATTGCGAAGATGCTGGGGACGAAGGACCTGGTCTGAGTGTGGTCACTTTCACTGAATGACTGCACCGGGGAGAGTGTGGTGGTTTTGAGACAAGGAAGACAGAAGAAGGGGTACAGGCTGCTGGGGACAAAAAGATGAATCCTGAGCAGGTTGTGGGGAACTAGGGGCTGCAGGGACCCAATCTCCAACCCCACTTTTGCCCGCCTGATTGTACAAAGTGAGGTGGTCAAACCGACGAAGGTGGACCTTTAGCTTTGGCCTGGGTGACCACAGAATGGACGCTAGGAGCCTACGCTCCCTGGGGGAGGGTCAGGTGTGTGTGTGGAGGGGTGGGTATGAATTCAGTGTTGGGCATGTTGAACTAGAAGGGTCTGTGGACTCTCCTGCTGGAAAAGCCCTGACAGTAGCTGAATTTGTAGCCAGGAGCTAAGTGAAGGCAGTTGGGCTAGCAGAGGCAATTTGGTATTTGTTGACTAATACATGCATACCTGGATACTGGGAGTAAGGAGGAGTACCAGGGAATGTGGATGGACTAGATGTACCCTGGCTATGCATGTATCAGCATCCCTGTAGGACCTTTAACAGCAACCTACTACATCGGGCCCCATCCCAGATCAGATCCGAATCCTGAGGTGGGCAGGTGCAAATTTCCAGGTTTCCTTTACCTGTGACTCTGGTACACAGCCAGGGTTCATAACCACAGGTTTTGAGAGAGCGGTTTTGTGCAGAGCTTGAGGCTGAAGTCCAACTGCAGGGACAGCCCTGCTACTACTGCCCAGGAGGCCTTTCCCCAGGCTCCACAGGATCACATGGGAGAGAAGATGAACAGCGTGCTCTTTTCTCCTGTATCTGGCCGCTGAATTGGTCTTTTCAGCCAGGACTACTACAGACGGGCATGTAGCTAAGGCTCCATGTGGGAGCATTATGGTCCTTGGGACCGGCAGGTCTCTCTGTAGTGAGGCTTATGGTGGGAGGGCCAAGGCATGCCTGGGCCCTGGGATTGGTGGAGGTAGGAGAGGTAAGGGGACAGCTGTCCCACTTCCTGCCACAGTGGCCAGTGTCTGGTAGGAAGCTACCACCAGAGTTGCAGGTCAGGGGTGTATGTCTAAGCATTCTCATACCTGCTTGGGGTCGCTTCAAGATGGGTCAGACTCCAGAGTTCTAAGGGGGTGAAATGGGAAATGGATGTCCCTTTTAAAGTTTGCAGAGGTGCCTAGGGATGGACTGGGGGCTTTTCTGCTTTCTGTTGAGAAGATGGGGAGTGCTAATATGGAGTGGGCCACATCCATTTCAAAGTGGAGCCATGGCAGCAGCGGAGGTCTGTGGGCCTCTCTGTACCCTATGGACCTCTTCTGCTGGTCTTTATTTACTTTATATATGTGTTTGAGTGTATGCATACCACAGGAACCTCGGAGGTCAGAAGAGGGTGTTAGATCCCCTGGGAATGGAGTTATGGGTGATTGTGAATGCTGGGATGTGGGTGCTGGGAACTGAACCTAGGTCCTCTGCAAGAGCCAGAAGCACTCTTAACCATTGAACTGGAGGCCTCAAAGGTCCCTCACCTGAGTGGAAAGGGAAAGGGACCCAGGAGTCTGTGGGTTAGAGAGAAGACCCTTGAATTCAGTTCTGTGGTTAAGGCCTATGTTTCTGTTTCTTCCAGCAAAGTCAGAGAAAACAACAGGAGGCTAGATTCAGGGGATAGCTTTATTGCTTCCATGAGGGCTGCCTGGGAGGACTGCCTGGGTAAGGTCCTTGAGCCTCACTCCCCTCCGGTCCTGGGTAGGACCCATGGAGTCTCATCAAGAAACCCAGCCCATTTGACAGTTGGCCAGTCCAGGAAGGAATATGCTCCCACGGACCAGAGACAGCTAGGGAGAGATACTATTCCTCTCAGGCTGGGCCTTGCCTCCTGAGTTCTCTCTGCTCTTGTCCAAGAGCTGTCCTGTTGGCTTTAAAGGGATGGCTCTGGGGTTCCCCTGTAGGACACTGGGGGGGGCTGGTGAGAGGGAGTACTCCACCTTCTCCCCAAGGAAGGCCAAAGCGTGTCATGAGCTGGAGATGGCTAACGAAAGATGCTACCCACCTCCCTGTGGCCCTGAAGCATGGTCTGACACTTCCATCCTTCAGGGAGTTCACCAGGACCACTGGCTGGTGGGCCCTCTAGTGGACCTCTTTCTGCACAGCAAGTGGACCAAAGGTGACATCTTATTTAAAAATAAATTATCCCTCCCCTCCCTGCACCCAAATTGACGAAATGATAATACACCAAACACTGATTGGAGAAATGATTCTGGCAGCGCTCTCGCTACCAAATGTCCCACCTCCTGCATGCTGGGCCTGCTGGCCACAGCCAGGGGCCTCCTGGCCCTCTGGCTTCACGGACCCAGGCTGCGAGGCAGAGTGCTGGTCTCTGAAGCTGGCCTGCAGCAGGCACAGCTCTGGTTGCCTTGCCAAGGCCTCACTGGCCCTTGGGCCTCTTGGCACTGTCCTTCTCTGGGTCAGAAGACTGGTGGCAGCTGCTCTTCCTAGTGTGAGCCTCTGTGGCCCAGGTTTGGGCCCGCTCAGATGCCGCTGGTTAAGTCAGTGATGACGCGGGCTTTCACGAGCTTCCGGAGAAACTCTTTCTCTCGCTGGATGTTGTGTGTCCAGGACTAGAGGGAGAGAGATGGAGAAGTTATGAAGTGGGCAGCAAGACACAGCCTTGCTTAACCCTGGACTGGTGCCCTCTTCCAGTCACCAACCTCTGAGACCCTGTGACTGGGAATATACAGGCACACATTTGTCCTGGCTTCCTCCAAGACCACAATAACCCGATAATGAATGCTACAACTCTTCCCCTAACAAGCAAGCCTGGCAGCCCATCGTCACCCCAGAGGAACTCTGTCCTGGCTTCTTCCAAGTCTCGAGTAGTCTTGGCTTCCCAGTCCCCTCAGTGCTCAGAATCGCATTCCTCCAGACAGCAGCCCACAGCTCCTTGGCAGCACCCAGGTTCTAGACACCCCCGAGGGCAAGGAGGTGAGTCACTGGACCGCACAGCAAGGGGCTTGGGCTGCTTCTCTGATGCAATCCATTCTCCAGGCCTTAGGCAGCTAATGAAAGCCTTCCTTCCTTGCACAGGAACCAGGGAGCCTGAGGAGCATGCCTCATCTTTCTTTTAAAAATGTTATCCTTGTCTAACCTAAATATTAAAATTGTATTTATGATTGGTGTTGGTGGCACACACATTTAAGCACTTAGGAGGCAGAGGCGGGAGGATCTCTGAGTTTGAGGTCAGCCTGGTCTACAGAGCAAGTTCCAGGACAGCCAGGGCTACACAGAAGAATCCCGTCAAGAAAAAAAAGTTCTTTTAATGTATTGTTTACTCTATGTGTGTGCATGCGTATATGATGTGTGTGCCTTTGAGTGTGATCCTGGTCATACCAAGGTGTGTTATTGTTGTTTGTTTTCTTGTTTTGTTTTTTTTTTTTTTTTTGAGACAGGATTTCTCTGTGTAGCTTTGGAGTCTGCCTTAGAACTCACTCTGTAGACCAGGCTGGCCTCGAACTCACAGAGATCCACCTGTCTCTGCCTCCTGAGTGCTGGGATTAAAGGTGTGCGCCACCACCACCTGGCTTTTTTGTTGTTGTCCAAAGTGTGTAAGAGAAGGTCAAATGATGACATCTGGCAGTGGGTTTCCTTCTACTGTGAATTCCAGGGTTTGAACTCAGGTCGTACGGTTAGTGCTTTTGCCCACTGAGCCATCTTTCCTGGACTGGATTTTTGAGACTGAGTCTCACTTAGCAGCTTGGGTTGGTCTGAAACTCAGTATGTAGCCTAGGCTGTTCTCAAACTCATGATCTTTGTACTCCAGCTCCCCATGTGCTGGATTACAGGTGCAAACCACTATACCATTTGCTTTACTGTCCGAAGCAATATCTCACTATATAACTCAAGCTGGCCTTGAGCCCTTTACCTTTTTGCCCCCACCTCCCAA